CCTCGTGGGCCCCCTGTTGCTCCACCGACGTACTCCTTCCTCCTATATATACCTACGTACCCCCAAACGATCAGAGACGGAGCCAAAAACCTAATTCCACCGCCGCAACCTTCTGTATCCACGAGATCCCATCTTGGGGCCTGTTCCAGAGCTCCGCCGGAGGGGGCATCCATCACGGAGGGCTTCTACATCAACACCATAGCCTCTTCGATGAACTGTGAGTAGTTTACCTCAGACCTTCGGGTCCATAGTTATTAGCTAGATGGCTTCTTCTCTCTTTTTGGATCTCAATACAATGTTCTCCCCCTCTCTTGTGAAGATCTATTCGATGTAATCTTCTTTTTGCGGTGTGTTTGTTGAGACCGATAAATTGTGGGTTTATGATCAAGATCATCTATGAACAATATTTGAATCTTCTCTGAATTATTTTATGTATGGTTGGTTATCTTTGCAAGTCTCTTCGAATTATCAGTTTGGTTTGGCCTACTAGATTGATCTTTCTTGCAATGGGAGAAGTACTTAGCTTTGAGTTTAATCTTGCGGTGTCCTTTCCCAGTGACAGTAGGGGCAGCAAGACACGTATTGTATTGTTGCCATCGAGGATAATAAGATGTTTTTTTATTATATTGCATGAATTTATCCCTCTACATCATGTCTTCTTGCTTAAGGCGTTACTCTGTTTTCATGAACTTAATACTCTAGATGCATGTTGGATAGCGGTCGATGAGTGGAGTAATAGTAGTAGATGCAGGCAGGAGTCGGTCTACTTGTCTCGGACGTGATGCCTATGCACATGATCATACCTAGATATTCTCATAACTATACTCAATTATGTCAATTGCTCAACAGTAATTCGTTCACCCACCGTAAAATACTTATGCTCTTGAGAGAAGCCACTAGTGAAACCTATGGCCCCCGGGTCTATCTTCATCATATTAATCTTCCAATACTTAGTTATTTCCTTTGCTTTTATTTTACTTTGCATCTTTATCACAAAAATATCAAAAATATTATTCTATCATATCTATCAGATCTCACTCTCGTAAGTGACCGTGAAGGGATTGACAACCTCTTATCGTGTTGGTTGCGAGAAGTTATTTTGTTTTGTGCAGGTACGATGGACTCGCGCGTAGCCTCCTACTGGATTGATACCTTGGTTCTCAAAAACTGAGGGAATACTTACGCTACTTCGCTGCATCATGCTCTCCTCTTGAAGGAAATCCAACACAGTGCTCAAGAGGTAGCAGGCATCTCCAAAGTGAGCCCTCGAATCGCTCACATCCGTCTGGATTGCGTTGTCTGGACACAATTTGCCATTCAACACGGTATCCATCGGTCCGCAGAGCCAGCGGCGAAGCTACGTGTTAGTCTGTGGGGTCAAGTGACCCCACAACTTTTTAGAAAATAAGCCTAAAACATTGTTCATTTAATGTTCATATTGAAGAAAAAATTTAAAAAATATCATTAACCCCACAGATACTTTAAGCTGGCCTCGTCGCTGCGCAGAGCGATTCAGATGTTTGTTTTCCAGCAAATCGGAGTAAAAAAATGAGGCTTGCCGGAGTCCAGACATTCGCCCGACCAGTGAAAAGCCATCACATGCCGTCCGTGCAGGATGGCGGGAGGCCGATACTATTTGGCGGAAGGAGAACATGATTAGCAACGACTAGCATGATGCTTGGCAGAAGGCTTCAAGTTTGTTAGCTTGATTTGGTGGAAGGCACATAGTTTAGCTAGCCAAACGTGATTTACTTAGCGGAAAGCTTTAATTATTACTAAATGGATTGCTTTCACCGAACACCTTAGACATCTAAAGCCTTTCATGCATTGGTTAAGTTTTTCATTTAAATAATTTGCCTAGGCTCTCGCACTTGGCATTGGTTCTTTTTAGGGTCACCAAAATGCTCTCTTTCTTCATTAAATGTTGTGTCATGTCATTTTTTCGCTTATGTGGCATATGCTTAGCACCTGTCCATCGTAAAACACTGGGAAAGGCCTTACACCAAATACATTGATGTTAATCTTTTTTTCTTTTCAAAATGCATTGCTTTGGCCTAAGTGTTTGGCGGGAAGGCTTCAAGCTAGCTAGCTTGATTTGACGGAAGGCACATAGGTAGCTAGCCAAATCGTGATTTACTTGACGGAAAACTCTTAACTATTACTAAATGCATTGCTTCCACCGAAAAATCTTCCGCTAAACGGACTGACATTGCTTTGGCCGAAGTGTGTTGGCGAAGCTGCATGCAATGCATTGCTTTGGCGGAAGGTGCATGTAATGCATGTTGCTTGTTTGGAGGAAGGTGTTGTATCATTTTTTTCTTTTCTTTAATTGACCGATGTTTAGCATGTTTAACGAAAGACTGTTGCGGGCATTTGCGGCT